AAAGTCTGACATTTCGCACCCTCCTGGAAGGTGCGTCCTCGCACCGTAGCAACAAAAGAGGGAGGCATGGGTGGGAACTTGGGAGGAGGCTCAGGAGGAGGACGGATATCTGGGAGGGGGCCAGCAGACAGAGTCCAGGGAGGAGACAGGAGGGGCTTGGAGCAGAAGGAGCCAAGCTGGACCCAGGCCACAGCCATGATGTTGACCCACGTTGGAGCCGACGGAGGGAGGAGCCAGGAGGAGGAATGGCCGCCGACTCCAGGGGACCGACCAACGGCGGCGGAGCAGGTGGCGGAGGAGCCCGAGGCGGAGACGGAGAGCCAACGAGCCAACGAGCCAGGGGGATGCCGAGGAGCCGGGGGGCCAAGGTGGAGCTGAGGGCTCTGGCGACCAAGGCGGAGATCCGGAGATCCGCGGCGGAGCCACAGTGACTGAGGACCAAGGTGGAGCTGGCGGGAGGAAGGAGCCCAACGGAGCCGGTGGGACGGAGCGACGAGCTGCAGCCGGAGGAGCGGAGTCCAGAGGCGATGGCAGGTCGATGCCCGACCAAGGCGGAGCCGGAGGGACGAGGGAGCCCGGTGGAGCTGGTGGATCGACGGGTGACGGTGGAGGCGAGGGAGCTAGGAGCAGCAGGAGGAGGAGGAACTCCGGGCAGACGAGGGGATCCATAAGGGCACACAACGGGAAAAAAAAGACACTGGGTGAAAACGGGAAACCAAACGGAGGGTAGACAAACGGAAGTTACTGTTTTGGTCGGTTCTTCTGTCACGTCACGCTGTTGAGGGAACACGCTGGAGGCACGAGTAAACGAGAACAGTCTTTAATCAAGGAAACACGGGATAATCCACAACAGGGGCTTGAGCCAACACACGTAGACAACAAGTAGAACCGACAGAGACCGACTGCACAGACTAGGACTTAAATACAGGGGATGATTGGGGAAACACAGGTGCATGAGATGACTAATCAAACTAATAAACTAAATGAGGATAGGAACATAACCAGATAAGGAAACACAGGAAGGACTACGGGGGAAAAACAGGTCCAAAAGTCTGACACTCCTAGACTTTTAAAGCTACAACCACCAAACTCAGGTCAGACCTTCAGACTGGTCTGACTCGGGTTGCTATATCTTTTCTAACTGATCCGGCTTACGGTTTTCGTAAACCAGACTATCAAATCCACCTAAAATCCCATAGACTTTCATTGAGGGGGTGAAAACTTTTATACAATAAGACTTATTGTGTATCTAAGCTGTCTATTGCTATAGCAAAGCTTAACAACTCCCTACTGAAAAAACATCTAAAACCAGCCTAAGCTGATTGACTGCTTTGGCTGGTCTCCCAAGCAGGTTTTAAAGTGGTTTTGGCCACTTTTTTAGCAGGCCAGGCTGGTCTTAGCTAGTTTTTAGCTGTTTATTTTTTTACTGAATCAACTGGTTTTAGCTGGGTTAGCATAGAAACATGCTAAAAACATGCTAGTAACTTGCTAATCATGCTAGAAATATGCTAACAAAATGCTAGTAACTTGCTAATCATGCTATCAAAATGCTAATCATGCCATCAACATGCAAGTAACATGCTAAGCATGCTAGAAACGTGTTAGTAACTTGCTAATCATGCTAAAAAAAGGCTAACACCTTGCTAGAAATGTGCTAATCATGCTAGAAACATGCTAGCAACTTATTAAACATGCTAGAAACAGGCTAGCATCATGCTAGTAACATGTTAATAATGTTAGAATCATGCTAGCAACGTTACTAACTTGCTAATCATGCTAGAAACAGGCTAACAAAATGCTAGTATCTTGTTAATCATGTTAACGACATGCTAGTAACTTGCTAATCATGCTAGAATCATGTTAACAAAATGTTAGTAAATTGCTAATTGCTAACAGCATGCTAGTAACATGCTAATCATGCTAGAAACATGTTAGTTACTTGGTAATCATACTAGCAAAATGTTAACACCATGGTAGTAACATGCTAATCATGCTAGAATAATGCTAGAAGCATGTTAGTAACTTGCTAATTATGGTAACAAAATGTTAGTAACTTGTTAATCATGCTAGCAACATGTTAACCATGTTAGAAACAGGCTAGCATAATGCTAGTAACATGCTAATCATGCTAGCAACATGGTAGTAACTTGCTAATCATGGTAACAACATGCTAGTAACATGTTAATCATGATAGAAACTTGCTAGTAACTTGCTAATAATGCTAACAAAATGCTAGAAACATATTAATCATGCTAGAAACTGGCTAGTAACTTGTTAATCATGCTAACAAAATGTTAACACCATGCTATTAACATGCTAATCATGCTAGAATCATGCTAGCAACATATTAGGAACTTGCTAGTCATGCTACCAAAATGCTATTAACATGCTAATCATGCTAGAAACATGTTAGTAACTTGCTAATCATGCTAACAAAATGATAACACCATGCTATTAACATGTTAATCATGCTAGATTCATGCTAGCAACATATTAGTAACTTGCTAATTATGTTAACAGCAAGCTAGTAACATGCTAATCATGCTAGAAACATGTTAGTAACTTTCTAGTCATGGTAACAAAATGCTAGTAACATGCTAATCATGCTAGAAACTTGCTAGTAACTTGCTAATCATGTTAACAAAATGCTAGAAACATGTTAATCATGCTAAAAACTTGCTAGTAACTTGCTAATCATGCTAGCACCATGCTATTAACATGCTAATCATCCTAGAAACATATTATTAACTTGCTAGTCATGCTAACAAAATGTTAACAATGTTAGAAACATGCTAGTAACATGGTAATCAAGCTAGCAAAATGCTAGTAACATGCTAATCAAGCTAGCAACATGCTAGTAACATGCTAATAATGTTAAAAACATGTTAGCAACATGCTAGTCATGCTAGAAACAGCCTAGCAACCACCCCATGTACCCTAGCAATATGTTTTATACCTATATGTTTTTTTTTCTGATAGACTGTATTGCCTTGAAAACATTAAAACTTTAATCTTTAAAACTATTTAAACTTTCAAACTACTTCAAACTGAAAATTTTCATACTGCAAGCTTTTAAAACTTTTTCAAACTTTCTAGCTAGGCTTTTTCAAGCCAACTTAAAGTTTGTCTACAAACTTTTCAATCTAATTGGTTATGAAATTGGCTAATGCTGTAGTCACAGATGGTAAGATAATGACCCCATGGCCTTTAGCATCAGACTAATGGCTGACTGATATGAGCAAAGCAAAGTTTATAGACTTAAGTTACTTGGAGATAGAGACAGAGTTCATCCTCAAAAACTGACAAATTTACAACCGGAGTAAAACACGGACAGAGTGATCCATCTTCATTAGTTTCTTATCATCTTATTCTCTCCTTCTCCCCTGCCTGCTTCCCGCTATCTCAGTGGTCTATTTTTGGCTTTTTTTTTGCCCTTTTGTCTCTGTGTGTTGTACCACACTATACCTCTTTTAAATGATTCCCTGAGAGCATTTTTCTCTTACCTTGGTTTTGAGGGCACTTTATAAAAACATGGCCTAGAAATAGTTCTTATTTAATAAAAGAAGCCACTATTTTTATAGTGGATGATTTTAACAAAATGGTAGCATTTTTATACCCATAGTGAAGTCTGTGTGTTTGAATGACTATTGCCAAATGTGAAGGTGTTATAATATAAAAACGACATATTTTTATATTATATTTCTAAAACAAATATTGATGGTCAAGGACCACAAATGTAGCGTAAATCAAGTTTTCACTCAATTTGGGACCAAATGTTAGTTTATGGTTATTGATAAAGTTATAAACTTAATTTACTTCCCATAAATGTAAAAAGAAAATAAAATAAAATAAAAATTAATATAATAAAAGGTTATTGGGAGTTGAATAATCAAAATTAACAAACATAATTAACACTATAATTTGTGTAAAAATTGAGACAAACTGAATGAGATCCACTTGTATTCCCAACATGATGTTAAAGGTTTTCAAATAAAATTATGCAATAACAGGACAGTGTGCAGAATATGGGACATTTTTTTTATTATATAATAATAATAGTTATATTATTAAAATAATTAGTGCTGTCAAATGATTCATCGCGATTAATCGTATCCAAAAAAAAGTTTCTGTTTACATGATATATGTGTGTGTACTGTGTCTATTTATTATGTATATACAGTATAAATACACACACATGCATGTATATATTAAGACAAATATGTTATGTTTATATATTAAATATAAATTATAATATAAATATGTACATGTACAGGTGCATCTCAATAAATTAGAATGTCGTGGAAAAGTTCATTTATTTCAGTAATTCAACTCAAATTGGATCAGCAGTCTTCCCCATGATTGTGTAGCCTAGTGAACCAAACTGAGAGACCATTTTGAAGGCTCAGGAAACCTTTGCAGGTGTTTTGAGTTGATTAGCTGATTGGCATGTCACCATATTCTAATTTGTTGAGATAGTGAATTGGTGGGTTTTTGTTAAATGTGAGCCAAAATCATCACAATTAAAAGAACCAAAGACTTAAACTACTTCAGTCTGTGTGCATTGAATTTATTTAATACACGAGTTTCACAATTTGAGTTGAATTACTGAAATAAATGAACTTTTCCACGACATTCTAATTTATTGAGATGCACCTGTACATGTTCATATTTTCAAAATATATGCTGTATGTGTGTATTTATTTATACATAATACATCTACACAGTACACATACATATATCGTGAACAATTTTTTTTATTTTAGATGTGATTAATCGCGATTAATCGTTTGACAGCACTAAAAATATCAATCAATAAAATGTAAAAGTTATATAATTTCAACAGATTACATCAACCTTAATACACTGTTATCTTTTAGATATTAAATTGTGATATATTATGATATACTATACTTTGAATTTGTGCCTCAGGCACAATTATAGACCCTAATTTCCTTCATTGTAATAAAAGGCTTCTCATGTCCTGCTGATCCACAGATGTTATGGAAGGGAAGACAGCGTTACTTCTGGAAATGAGCCAGTGGAACTCTAATGACCTGGTGGAGCAGTTTGAAACAATGGGACACCTGGAGCACTCCAGAGGTAAAAGCATCAGGGACTCCTGAGAAGATCTCTTCTATATTTTGTTTTTTTTGTATCATGAATACATTATGGATACTGTAAGGTATTATAAACACTTTAATCGACAAAGTAAAGCTGAATTTACCACAGTACTAAATTCAAGTCAGCATCACTCTATAGGAGTAGCTTGATGATGTGATTTTACACCATATTAATTTCAATAAACTTCATCTGTATAATATGAAAGCTTAACATAATCTCAATGCTTCTCCTCCCTAATTAGTTTACTTTACCCTAAACAGCAGTTTCCATGGCATACAGTTTGTTTGCTGTCTAACTTAAAGTGGGGAAGTTCAGTGAAGGGAGAATCAACAGTGACTAGTGCTACAGATGCAGTGTAATCACTGTTTTGCTTCTCTAAGCCGTATTAATACCACAGGACAGGCAGTGACACCATATTACTCTCTCACACATTTAACTCCCTTTAGAGAGGCTTTCTAATACTGCACAAGAGATTTAGAGTTTCTGTAATGCTGCACGACAGCTACTTTTAAATGAGGAGAAATAGGCAGCTCACTTTTTGACACTCATTTAAGAAAAATGTGTTTCATCAGACTGTGAAATAGTTCTACTGAAAGAGCAATAAATGTGGCAGCATGATCGAGCGACCTATCAGGGTTTCTTGGCCACAAAAGATGGGTCCATCAGCTGTGTTTGCTTTAGTTTAGCTGAGAAGTATGTTTTGAGAAAACTTTTTCGTAATCTGGAAGAGATTAATCTGCATTCACACGTGTGGAGGAAGATCTCTGTACATTTTTATCCTGCCACAGGTCTGTTATTTTTGGCAGAATTTATAGATGGCTTAGAGGAGAGTAGAAACTTATTATCATGTGGATTTGGTTATTTTGGATTTCATGATGGTAAGGTCACAGATTATAAAGAGATGGTGAAAGAGAAACGAGTGAAACAGAATGAGAGAGTGAGAAGAGAGAGGATTACTGCAAACAATTATCCGTTTTCATTTCACAGTTAATAAATCTGGATATTTTATTTTTATATATATTAAATATATACATATTTCAGATTTAAAGAGAGCAGGGATAAGTCCCACCACTAAACTAAACATTTAATTAATTAATTTATTTATTTATTTATTAATTTACTCTATAGAAGATTTAAGCATGACCCAATTTTACATATTTCAAGAGAGCAGGGATAAGTCCCACCACTAAACTAAACATTTAATTAATTAATTTATTTATTATTTATTTTGTTTGTTTTAGTTATTTAAGCAGGGTTACTTATTAATGAAAGTTTATTTCCACCATGGAATAAAATCATGAAAAAGATTATTGTGCCTTTTATCTCACAATTGGGACATTTTATTTATGTATTTGTTTGTTTGTTTCTAATGCATCTTTATTGCCATCACTGAATTGAAAAAAAAAATAAATAAAAGATAACAGCGACTTTTAATTTTTTTTATCTCACAATTCAGACTCACTCAGTGAGTTTATAACTCACAATTGTTAGCTATAAACTTACAATTCTGAGAAAAATGTCAGAATTTTGTGATATAAAAAAGCATCAATTGTTAAGATATAAATTTGCAATTCTGAGACAAATTATGAGATAATAAGACACAATTACAATTACAATTTTTTATATATTTTTTATTCTGTGATCGAAATAATCTTCCATAGTTATTCAATGTATGTATGTATAATTATATACATTATATGTATATATATATATATATATATATATATAACACTCAAACTGAATATTTAAACATTTAAGTAACCTCACAAACAAATGTAATTGTGAAAAAAAATAATTGTGTTTCATCTGGTTCTGGGAATGGCTTTACGGTAGAGCAGAAGTGTGCGGAAAGCCCTTATATGGAGATAGTGTGGGTGTGTATTATGCTAATTAAACTAATTGCAGGCACATGCTACCTTATTAAGAATAATCGAGATTAATCATCACTAAAACAAGGGGAAGAATAAATACACATGCAAACACACCTGTCGTAAATTCAGTGGTTTGTGTGAGAACATTTCCTGCGCACATACTGTATCTATGCAACTGTTACACAATTATTATTTTCGCAGACATGGTGTAGGCTATACCAACAATTATTTACTAAATATTCCATTCTGGTTTTCTATTCTTGGTTTTCAAGCTCTTCTTCTACTGCCTGCCTCCTAACAATCACCCATTTGCACATCTGTCTTGAGCGTGACCTAGAGACACGGCTCACACAACCATGAAACCGCGCAATCAGACAGCAATCCGGGACCTCTTTAATGGCTGTGTTTTATGAGAAGACTTTGTGTGTTCAGCTGCATCAAGTCACACCGATACTACAGATCTTAAATCCTTAAGGAACAAATGAGAAAGGGTCAACTGGCTCTAGTGGGATTCAATTACCAGAATGAAGGTCTTTCTATTGCTCTCTACTGAATTCAGTGCAAACATGAAGCGTATGCATGCTTAAAGGGATAGTTCACCCCAAAATAACAATTCGGTCATCATTTACTCACCTTCATGTCAGTCCAGAGGTGTATGAGTTTGCTTCTTCTGTTGAACACACACACACAAGGTATTTAAAAAAAATACTGGTGATCAGTTGATAGATAAATTTCAGTATTTCCCAAGCACATTTGCTGGTCATTTGATAAAATGACTGCATTTTTTGACATTTTATAGCTTTAGCTGTGCTCTGCATGCATATAATAGTGGAATTTGTATAGTCAGCTTAGTTAATGTTTCCTATTAGATAATAACTAGTTAAATTATAATTGCCGTTAGTTAGTTAGTTAGTTAGTTAGTTAGTTAGTTAGTTAGTTAGTTAGTTAACACTTCACCACAACCAGACGTCAGTTGGCTTACATTTACCTCAGATTAATTGCAGTTATTGATGTCCGTTAAAATACAAAGTTTCTTAAAGGGGTCATATGATGCTGCTAAAAAGAACATTATGTTGTGTATTTGGTGTAATGAAATGTGTTTATGCGGTTTAAGGTTAAAAAAACACATTATTTTCCACATACTGTACATTATTGTTGCTCCTCTATGCCCCGCCTTTCTGAAACGCGTCGATTTTTACAAAGCTCATCGTTCTGAAAAGCGAGGT